ATGTCTGACCAGCCAAAGGAACCCAGACTGGGGAATGTGTAGGAGGGCAACGCCATGCCCACACGATGCAGTCCAGGCCCAAAGGCTGTAGACACAGCCAGGCAAAACAGACATTCTGTTTCTCATTTACCAGAGACCATCACTCACTGGTAGGGAGCCAATAACAGACAGGTCAGGTTCCCTGGGCCAGCATTTATAGAGAGATTAATTTCCACTTGCAAATGCTGCAGTGGCTTGCATGTTTTCACTTTTCCAGGTTGCTATGAAGGGACAGCATAGAGGACATTTCACACAGACCTTCATCTGTGGTACAGACTCTCCTGTCAGCATAGCTTCATCTACAATACACCTCCCACGTAACAGCAGCACATCGCATGGCACTAGGTTTTCATGAGGAGATCGGCCTGCAATTAAGAGATTAAAACTCAGAAGATACTCAGAGGCAGAAGTGACTATTGCTTGGCTAGTTGTCTGGCAGGGCACAGTTCGCCTTCAGTTTAGCTGAATACAGAAAATTCCTGAAGGGCAATTCTCTCATGGGCTCCTGAATCTATCACATGACTCCACAGCATATATCCACTAAAAGACCAGCATTGCTGAGAACTAAAGGAGCTTGAAGGTTATCAGGACTCTGCTGAAACCAGGAAAGTTTCAAAATCAAGTCACTCAGTTCACATTGCCATTCAGACTTGAAAGACTAAGATTACATCCTGGGACAACACAACCTAAAAAACGAGAACAGAGTTAAGACAGAGACCTGCCTTTCCCCCTTTCACTCTAAGAAGATATTGTCAGGAGGAAGAGAACTCTTCATCTTCAAAATCCTAAGCTGAAGTAGGAATCTGAGGCTGATTTATCTAGGCATTTACGTGTTTTCAAGACAGTTAGAAGATCCAAGAGGTCCACCTCGAGGATCAGTTCCTTGGACCCTTAAATTGTGACATCTATGAATCAAATGAAGTCCTCAAAAGCACCCAATCAAGACCTTTGGAATTTAATACCTTACTCAACTCACTGCGCAAATTAACACACTAGAAGGAATTTGATTTTAAAAGAGCATTCATTCACGAACATCACGCAAGCCATTACCAATGGAAACGATATCCCCCGGAATAATCTCATCACTTGAAATGGGGCGCCACTTTCGGTTTCTGTAAACCTGTGGACAAAAGCACTTTGAGAAGTCTTGCACGTGGCAACGTAGTAGAAAAGGATCAGAGGAAAAAAGAGGGGGAAAAATGACAGCACACCAGCCAAAAAGACTGCTCTACCAAAAACTTTATGCAAAAGAAGCTAATGCCAAAAAACACCACAAAAAAGATAATAGAAAATACAGTTAGAACTATAAGAATTACTGGAAGAGATCAAAAACTTAGAATTAAGCAAGCAAGAATTTATTAAGTGCATACTGGACAGAACGGCCGAATTTGAAAGAAAGGGACAGGGAAAAGCCCAAAGTCTCTTTTCCTCTACTTTCCCAACTCCATACCTTTTCAAGTTTTGCCCCTTTTAGAAAGAAGATTCTGCGTCCTTTGACGGCCAGTGTAAAGGTATCTTTCTCATTCCTAGGCTCTCTTGTCAAGCATTGCTAACTACTCAATTTCTCAGACAGCATTACGTTTATGACTCTTTCCTCTCTGATTCTGATTACCTGGATCATGTAAGGCTTGTTGCCCATCTTTCGAATCTCTGACATGTTCCGCATTTGCTGCTGGACCAGAGAAGCTTCAAATGCCACTAACATGGAGAGGGTGAAGACACTGTAATACCAGTATTCATCCAGGCACCACAAACCCACGCAGAACACCTGGTAAGGAGAACATGATGTGGAAGTCATTCTAACATCTACCTCGCTCAGAAAACAAAAGCCCTCAATTTTCAGGGATGTTTTCTGCTGGATTGGTACATATTCAATTGTATCAAGCTGTAAAAACAGAAAGTCACAATAACCTATTGGGGGGAAGCAAGGTCGCTCTTGCAACAATCAGCTAAAACACCAACATGACACTGAAAGAGCAGCAACCACTCTTGGTTTTAGAAGCTGATTTCTGACTCTCAAACCAGGACTGTAAGGAATTCTTATCAGGGAAGAGTATTTACAGTTCTTTTTGTTTGTTTGTGTTACCTGAAAGACGAAGAACGGAGCTGTGGCTCTCTCTTTAAAGAGTTCCAAGAACTCTGGCACCACCATCTCAGCCCTGGGAAAGAATTGAATCCTTGTTAACCTGAGAGTTCAGTCTTCTCAGCAACTACCCAACCCAAAAACATCTACAGCCTCTGGTGTAAGACCAGGTTTTATTCCAGAATATCTACACGCAGTCTCGCTCTTCTTTTCAAATACTGTAAGAAGCAATTGCTTCTAAGCAATTGTAATCTAAGCCCACTCTGGAGAAACTGCCCTGCCCTGGTACTCTTCTTTGTTCTTAGAGGAGGGACTCTGATATCTGGGAAGCAAGTCCTGGGAGTAAGCATTTAAAAAACAGAGCATTGATTGCCATTCACTTCTACGGCCCTTGTAGCTGACACATTGGGCCGCTTTGGACCTCTCCCACTCTGGCAAACAGAGACCTGTGCCTGGAAAACTTACTTGTTTGTACCGTATTTCTTCTCAGCTGCTCGGATATCTTTGTCCTCCTGATAGCCCCGGGCATTCTGGTAGTAAGAAAGGGGATGCTCCACAGGAAAAGCTACAGGAAGGAACTGTTTCTTGCCATCTACTTCATACGAGTATTTGATTTTCTGAAATTCAAATGACAGAGCCTCCTGCCCATCCTCACCCAAAAAAAAAAAACACAGCAACTGAATGCATGTCAAAGACCTCACTTCACACATAATCTGTCCTGAAGGAAAAAAAAAAAAACTAGAGGAATCAACCAACCACTTACATCTCTAGCTCTTTTATCATTCTGCCCATGATAACATGCAATAGGAAACATCGTACCATCTCTAACATCCCCATCTGTGACTGACTGCAGCTGACTTTTCCTAAATATTGAAGTTAAAAACTAAGAAACTGCATGGTAAAGATCTGTGTGTTTGACATGAAGCAGCAGTTCCCAGGCATGTGACAGGGATGTAGCATGTTTGTAGCGGCCACGTCCTTACCTGATCTCTATGGAGCGGCACTAGTTCTACAGATCCGTTATTTGGGGTTGGCACAACTTTAGCCAACGTGGCTTTCTTAGGGCTGGGTTCCTGAAACACAAACAGCACGTGCAAGGTGAAGCAGATCACAGACGCTGGCGTTCAGCAAGAGCCGAGAGGAAGCCTTGCCGGAGCGCACCGAGACACGGGAGCGAGGGGCTGGGGCTCCTGGGGAGCCACTGCGAGA